CCTCTCCCTCCGAATGCTGTGTTTGATTCCCGGACTCTAGGGAACGTTACGGAAATGGAGTTCAGCCACCTAGCATAAAAGAACCATTCTTCCTTGGCTGCCAGAGAAGAAAATACAACAGCTATGTCACTCTGCTTGATCTTAAAATGAATACGAACAGCTGAATATGAATATGAACAGGGGTGAAGGATTTCTACCCTGTATTCCTGCCAGCTACACCTGGAGATGGAAGACAGATCTCTGTATTACAATATAAAGAGCAGCCAGGTATCATTCCCTGTTTTTTTCTTTGACTGGTCTTTTACTAATGGTGATTTATCCTATCCTCAAAACAGGAGGGATTTTTATAAAAAAACGATGGGAAGGACAGGACAAGGAAGGGAACCAAATCCTGTTTCCTTTCATCTTCTTCTTCCATCTATTGGCACAAGAGAAGAGTATTACCACTCTCCCAACACTAGTAGACTCCTTGGCCCACATACCAGGGAGCTTCTCTGCAATTCCAGCACGTGAAATGAAGAGTTTTCTCCATTTCACCTGACTAGTTTGTCTTCTGACCAGACTAACCAGGAGCAGAAGCAGCAGCACAGTCCTTGGTTCTAGGATTTTCTGTGGTACAAATGGGTGGGTGTCAAAGCCTCAGGCAAATCCTACAGATAAACATTTTACATATGGAGCCACAGATATTGGTGTCTGCGAGGGGGAGAGAAGGAGACATCCCTGAAACCAGTGTTTAAAATGCCGGTGTCGGGCTGAGATACAAAAGCCCTCTCCATGAGCTGGTACAACAGTGCAAGGCTATTGGCAGTGGTACACAATAATACATAAAGACGACACTTGCTCTTCGCAGGGCTCTGTTCACACTGCAGTTCAAACAATAGCACTCCTAATGGCCTACAACCTGTTCCTTTCTGTTTCAGTTTCTTTGCTGACTACAAACATTGGGCCTGAAAAAAATATTAAATAACCTTAAAGATTTACTTGCAGCCTTCACTTTATCTTGCCACTCTTTGTCTATACCTGCAGACACACAGCTTTGAGCAACTGAGCTTGGTTTCTGTGATTGGCACTGGATCATACACCACAAGTTCATTTCCATATCTTACGTTGTACCACATATACACACTCTAGTGTTAAAAAGTCCTTTCTCCACCTCAGTCTCTGGAGATGGAACTACTGAGAAGAATATATATAGAAAGTGTTCAAAAATAACAAGCCTTAAAAAAAAAAGTCTCCAATATTGTGAACTTATGCTACTTTCAAGCATTTTTACTCTTGCCTTTGGGGGAAGGGAACTAAACAAAACAGTCTTGAGCCATGACGGTGTGAGCTCAATGATATTTTCACTTGCTGAAGTAAAAAAAAGCAAAAGACAGTAGATTGATTTTATATGGAGACCTTAAAATAGGAGAAGACATTTTTATAAAATACATGCTTACACACAACTTCTGAGAAACACTGTAGAGACTGTGAATACAAGAAGTCCAATTAGGTGATACCTGTGTTCCTTTCTGCCATCAGACACTGAAAACTCCATAATTATACGTAAATAGGACTTAAATGTAAAAGCAATTCATCTCCTTCATGGAATAGATGGTTGAAATACAAATACAAAAACTGTCCAGAATAATGTAAGACTGTAATAGGTGTTGAGCCATATGAACCAGATCATCCTCTCCTGGTACCTGACTGCAAACTAACAGGGTGGGACCTTACTTGTAGGGAAGGAAGGGGAGCAAGAGAGTGAGTGTAAAAAGAATTCGGAGAAAAACAGTGTGTAAGACTTCACAGATAATCGTGACATATATAAAAGACTTCATAAAGAAATAAAAAAAAAAAAACACCAGTTGAGAAATTTGTTGGACACAATACTGTCTAGAAAGACCTGAACTGAAAGCAAAGAAACTATCTCTTGTTGCTTTTTTTTCTACAGCGTTCTGTGAAGAAGGAACTGTCTGATCTGTCATTATAAACAACAATAAATCTGACAGTTGTATATCTCAGCTTCTCCTTCTGACAAAAATAATCTGAAAAGCCCTCTCAAAAATGAATGAATACCTCCATGGCTGAGAAGTCGCAACACCAGTGTTGAAAGCAGGATTGAAAGAGAGAAATCATTAGCTTCTGTTCCTCTTTAGCCAAGCTGAAAATTACTACTTGAAAAACAGCTGAGAATTTTGAAAGAACTAATGTGGCACCCAACTGTTTCTGGGAAGTGCTACAGAATGGCTTGCAGGTAAAAAGGAAATCTTTGCTAGGGCAGTAATTAATTGCAAAGCATTTAGGTAGACTAGAAGCTCTAGTGCAACACCTTCTGTGCAGTATGGCAAAAAAATTCAATCATACCATGAAGTAATAAAGTCAGCCTTGAAAAACACTAACAGAGAGAAGCTGCAAAAAGGACAGACAAAGCTAAAAAGTAATTTCAAAAAGAATATCAAAATAAAAGTTCATCACCTGTATCAGGGTTGCTGGAAAGCACTTCAATTGTTTCCTATCCAGTTTTACCTGTAGTAGTCTAAAAGGGAGAACAGGGATTTCCCTGAACTTACATCATGCAAAAATTTACTGATTTTTGGAAAATAAAAACTCCCTGGGAGGCACATTTGGCTCAGCTCAACCTCATCATCTAAAATAATGGTCAGGGAATCAAATAGGAAGAGGTAATTCTAGTTAACAACATTAGTAGCCTCCCTGTGATGTTGTTACTGAAATTCCCCAAAGACAAGAGAGAGGGTTATTTGGATCTGAATAAGCCTTTAACATCTTGTATAAAGCCAGAGACCCAGCTAAGGGCTGGGAGAGGTGATTAAAGAACGATTCCAAGATTAAAGAACAATTCCATCAGCAGTGGCAGTGGAAGACTTGAATTGTGGGTCAAATATCAGTAAAGGTATCTATAATAAATTAGCGATTGAACAATGCAGAAATATCTGAAAGATGATGAGGTAAGGCCAAAGACACTTAGAGGTTGTAAAACTGGTCACAAATCTCCAACTGTCTTTCATGTTGGCGCACCAACATGACTGAACAATCACCAGTGAGAAACACTGCTAGACCTAAAAGTACAAAATCCATGAGAAACAGCCATGAAATCTCAGCAAAATGGATTTGGTTCTCATTTACTGTGGTATGCCAGAAACGATACTGTATAAAGGTCAAGGGCAAACTCACTTTGTGGTTATATGCCAAAGGACATTTTGGATGGGAAGTTGCCATGAAAAAGGATGGTATTCTTGAGTAAAGATGCTATCTGCTGCTCTTTTCTTCTGAGTGTGTTCACAGAAATGGCATTTTCTTGTAAATCATTAGGATTATGTCAAATTACTTAGCTCTGGCATTTATTTCTCCCCGGCAATGGGAACTGTCTGCAAGTGCTCAAACCCTGGCTAGCCAGCTGGGTCAAAAGTGGAAGAAATATCTTGCTTAAATATGTTGATCTTGGCAAAGATCTATTCAACACATCACCACAACAATAGATTTAAATAGAGACACAAAAAGCAAGCTTGCTAGTGCCAAAACAATAGGGAAAATAAAACCCATTTCCTATTCTCAATATGGCAAGTAATAAAAAATATCTGTTAGCAATCAAATCAAGCTGACAAAGCAATGCTAAAATGGTTTGGAATAGAGCCAAAAAAGATCAGAACAGATATATAGAGACAATATGCACTGGACTGCGAAGCCCACTTTGTATCATCACAGGAAGAGACATAAAAACCAGCATGGTGTGCATTATTGCTATCATCTATTAAAAGAGTTGGGAATATAGTTAAAATATCAAATAAAGATGGACAGACATGATATAAGGGATTACAGTTCTGTCAAAGATGTGCATTTCTTTCTTTCTTCAGAGTTAGTTCTTCAGTCTGAACACTTTCTTCCTCACCTGTTCTTAATCAGAGAATTTATATGGTACCTAACACCACGTAGGCTCCCTAAACACCAGGCACTATATTAACATATTACTCTGGTAAATGGGAGAACATAAACAGGCACAGTCTACAATTAAGATGCCTTAAAATGTTCTGAAAGCATGGGTAATTCAAGGATGCCAGGCAACTAAATGGGAGCAATATCTTTTCTCTAACACCTTCTTTTAAAAAAAAAAAATTAGTAACTCTTTGGATGACCTTTTCAGTGCACCTTATTTCACAACTGAGAAGTAGAAATAACTTTTTTTTTTAAAATATGTATTTGGAATGCAATGTTTCTGAATATTTACAATTCACTTGTCAAGTCTAGTACACACTATAATGCCACTGGGATGACTAGACCCTTACTCATCATCTTCCTAAATTTTGTTCTAATCTATGCCATCAAACAGAGGCAAGATGTGTTTTGTACCTGGGAATGCAGGTTCTTCAAAGCATCCTATTAATACATATTAAACAATATCAGCCTATATAAGCTTCCCAGCTGAATATTAACCCTGGTTCCCAAACTGCTGAGTATGAGAAAACTGTCATATGTGAGAAAGTAAGCAGTTGATACACCTTTTTTTTAAGGATGGAAACAGAGAGCCACAAACACCTGCACAGTTTAATACAGGAAGAGGTACTTTAGTCACTAAAATACTACTGTATGCTTGATTTGCCCACCAAAAAGCACAAGGTAATTTTTTTTTTCCCCATTCAAAGATGTCTTTTTTTCAGTTACATTGTCTCTTTCATGAGGGGGGAAAAAAAAAAAATATTCATGGATGTTTTTCAAGAACACAACACATCTTCTCTTAAGAACTTGTAAATGGGAGTTAGCAGACTGCTTTCGGATTGACAGCGTTACCAAAATGGTGAAAGAGAATACACAACAAAGCAATATGGCATGCAAGAAACAGTGCAGTCTTGAGATTTTGCTTTGCTGCCTTAATCAATCAGGCAATAGCTTACATAGTTTCTAATGATTTGTGACTCTACAAGGATATGGAGTTAATATAGGCCTGTGAGGTCTCAACACACTGTGATAGTGTCATTAGTGAAAAAGGTGGGAATAAGGGGTACCTCCTTCGTCAGATGGCCTTGTTATCTCACTGCAGTAAGAAAAGGTAGGGTTCGTGTCAGAGCCATCTGATTTATAATCTCCCAAACTGGTAGAATGTAAATACTGCTTACTGTAACGGCTTGCTCTTTCTACAAAGGTAGAAAGAAAGAATATCACGGTAAATAGATGACAGAAGCGCAAAGACGAGCAACACCAAAACCCCCAACATTGCTAACATGGACGTTCATATACCGATGGCATTAAAATTAGAGAAAAGTTAATTTTTCACAATTTTGTCTCCATTTTGGACACCATTAGTTCAAAAGGTTGCTTCAAAATCAGAGACAACTAGGTTTGTTCTCTGCTTTAAAAGAATAGCAGAAACAAAAGGTAGGATTGAGATACTGGGGAAAAAAGGGATGAAGAGGAAGCATATGAAAATTTCCATCGGAAAATCAAAACATTCCTTTATCCCAGTATGATACAAGCGCATGTGGAAATGCATGACATTCAAAAGACTATTTAAAGTTCCACTATTAGTAGCAAAGAAAATACATGCACAAAATTAAACATTCAAAAGAAACACTTCTAGGGGAAAAAAAAAAACCTTAAACCTGTAGAGCCAAAACATTGTTGCCTATTATTACATAACCTTCCCTCCTTTTCTGTCTACCCTTAAATTATGAATACCCTGGAGTTGCAAACAATAGCACAAGGCTATTTCATGTGCCGTATAAGCAAAATGTGCATAGAAAAGAAATGAATTTCATGAATAGGCCACCTTCTATATCTCTGAAATTTTAGTAAGGTCCAACTATTCTACATATAGTGACAACAAAGTAGGTCAATGCTTTTTAAGGGACTGCTTGTAGGTGGTATGAGTAACTGTTGTTTAGGATAAAATTTCTTTCACTATTTCTTATCTGCACACGCGATTACAGCTGAAGTTGCTATAAAACACTGCTTTTAAAATACTGCAGTATTTTTCATATACATGAAAACAGACTTATAAAACATATGGCAGGCACATTGACCTGAAAATTTACTGTATCGACTTAGTTTCATAAACATAAAAAGCTGATTTGGGAAAAGTCAGGATATAAGCAATACCAGAAAGCATATGCAGACTCCTAGACTGAATATTGTCCTCCAGAGGATCAATGTCGAAGATGGAGCCAGGATCGGTGCGCCAAACTTTAAGATCTTTTCCCAAAGCACAGAAATTGTAAGACAGACAAACAACAAAGGAAGTAAAAGCATGAAAGGAATGAGTTTTAAAAATCAGCAACCGATTTCCTTCATCTAGAAATTAACCAAAAGATCTAGATGTTCACCTGAAAGGACTGGAAAGCATTAATTTCCTGCTTAAAAGAACTCAGTGCGTTCATTTTAAGCGTTGACATTATTTTAAGGAGACTTTTTCTCCCAGGTTTTCTTTTTTCCTTTTCTAAATATGACCATAGTATTTTCTTAAGTCTAAATAAATGGAAAAAAGTTAAATATCACATACCAGAGCTCTTTTCCACTAGCAGAACCAAAATCATCAGAGCTACAAGATTATTTCCCCAGTCCACCAATAGCATGCTTACTCCACAGAGATGCTGCAGTATATATCCCTATAGCTGACAGCTGGCCGTATATATCTCTACAGCTGAGAGAGGCACTACAGATCTTCCTTTTCATACAGTAGAGATCAAGTCAGTCTAATAATCAGAATCAGGGGTATAGCTCATCTTCTCCAAAATAAATTTCTACGAGCTCCTCAATTCATATAAACTCAAAAGCATCCTTCTTTCTTAATTAAAACAAAAAATGGACTCAGGTGACAAATTTAGCTGTAGAAATCCGTATCGTAGACATCTACGGTTGGGTAAAATGAAGCCCACTCTTGATGTTAACTAGTAATTCCCTTTGTCTTCCAAATATCTAAGTTTCCTGGGACACAGACTTACTGTTGATCCACTACTCCACAACTGAAAAGCATTTTTGGAATTCAATGTGTGGATTCAATAACAGTAGTAATCGTAAGATCTTTGGCTTTAATTCATATAAGTTATTAATATCTCTTGAATTCACATGTCTGAACTGGATATTGAAAGAAAAAGGAGTCCATAAGAAAGAATTAATTTCATATGTGAGTTTAAGTTGTAATCACAACAGAAAAGTGAATACAGATTCAACCATGTTTTAAATAAACTTTTAACAAATTATTACAATGTTGTACAAGTTAAGAGGAAGTTTGTAACAAACGCAGGAGCAGCTACAGTGTAAATTCTTGATCTGTTCACATCAATCTAATATATAAAATTTGTATCTGCTATGTGTAAAAATATAATAATAATTTAATCACTCCAAACCTGTTTAAAATAAAACCTTGATGTAAAGTACAATCAGTCAAAGCACAAATCTACCAGATCACACCTTTTTACTAGTGGCTTGCTTCTTAGGCAGACCTGTCTGCAAGATTTACTCTATGCATTGGAAGTGGGAAAAATAACTGTCTTCCCAGCTTGGTCCTTTTGCTGGTTTGAGTGGCATCAAGCTAAATAATGGGTTGATAGGTAAAGTAGAACTGTGCAGATCCCAAATATGTCATGTTTCAAACTATTAATAGTCAAGAGGCAATGGAAATGACAGAGCTAATAAAATAAATCCCATGGCTTTAGAACACATTAAATGTATGTACATTACATGTTATCTACTGCAACTCCCATAAGGTGAGGCATAGTGCGAACTCCCTCTTGACAAGATGAATAAAAGCCAACACAAAATCTTTTGATAAACTATGTACTAGTCCTAACAGAGATGAATTATGCAACTACATAAAGCACTGACGGGCATGAGAGGGGTGAGGGAACTGGTGAATGCCCAACTTTTCTTGTTTGATCACGCCTTACTAAGTAAAAACATAATAAACCCTGTGGAGAATGACTTGGGGTCATGTGCAGCAATGAGCGCTCGCAGCCCAGAAGGCCAACCATATCTTGGGTTGCATCAAAAGCAGTGTGGCCAGCAGGGCGAGGGAGGGGATTCTGCCCCTCTACCCTGCTCTGGTGAGATCCCACCTGCAGTACCGTGTCCAGCTCTGGAGCCCTCAGCATAGGAAAGACATGAACCTCTTGGAACGGGTCCAGAGGAGGCCACAAAAACGATCAGAGGGATGGAACACCTCTCCTATGAGGACAGCTGAGAGAGTTGGGGTTGTTCAGCCTGGAGAAGAGAAGGCTCCAGGGAGACCTTATTGCAGCCTTCCAGTACTTAAAGGGGGCTTGTAAGAAAGATGGGGACAGACTTTTTAGCAGGGCCTGTAGCAATAGGAGAAGGGGTAATGGTTTTAAACTAAAAGAGGGTAGATTTAGACTAGATTGAAGGAAGACATTTTTGACAATGAGGGTGGTGAAACCCTGGCACAGGTTGCCCAGAGAGATGGTAAATGCTCCATCCCTGGAAACATTCCAGGTCAGGTTGGACAGGTCTCTGAGCAACCTGATCTAGTTGAAGATGTCCCTGCTCATTGCAGGGGGGTTGGACTAGATGACCATAAAAGGCCCCTTCCAACCCAAACTATTCTATGATTTTAAGTACAGCCTCATGGCAGCGTCAGTGCAGCAGCCATTGATTTGTATTGATTTCATCCATCTCTCTAATCTGAAATAACACATAGAATCAGAATCTTGGCAAATTATAACACAAATGTTACACAAAGTAACTTTTGCCAATTTAAAATATCCTTATACTCACATGAGAATCATGGAGCCTCTTTAGTCACAGATCCAAGTCTCAGCTGCATTAATTTATCTTGATGGGTTTAGAATGGCTTTATCATGGTTAAAACTAGTGCCTATTTTCAAAAGCAGAGCCATTACTTTTAGCAATCAGGCATTTGAAAAAGTTGTTACAGCTTCACTGATAGTATTTTAAAAACCAAACAGATGGACTGTAACACAGAAGTACTTTTTCTAACTGGCTGAACAACTATCGGCTAGGAAAAAACTCAAGAAAGTCATAGTTGTTTTTTTCAGTCTGCGATTTTTTTTTCTAGCTGCCAAGGATGTTCCATGAGCTTCTTTTTAAACAAGCAGATATTATACTTGTAGTTCATTCTGAAAAAGCATTAGCTGAAATATCACTCAGGCTCACAGGTTTGTCATGGCCTGTTTCCTTTAAATAGTTGCACTATTTGTGCTGTTTGGCCGGCATGGGGAGTTAAGAGTTCCTGTGTGTTTTGATACTGGAGTGGTGATAAGTAGTACTAATATTTCAGTTACAGCTCAAGAATTCATCTCAGGGATGTTTCTAATCGTAATCTGTTTGTGCTAGGAAGCCTTCAGTTACTGAACAGAGGATTGCACTCATGATTCTTACACAGGGCTCACAGCACACGCGCAATGCAGTACAGAGCAGGAGGTTTGAAGCGCGCACTAAACGGCGTACTGCAAACTGTATAGTAAACTGCAACTGTGCAGGGGTTTTTCTCTCTCTCTTTGGCTGCACCACCTCTAGCTATGGAAGTGAGTTCAAGTGCTTGGGTCTCTACAGACAATGAATTTCTGAACAAGTTGTTGCCTTAGATCCAGAACGCGCGACCTCTGAGACCTGCATGGTCTTAAATGCACCAGCACCTTACCCAGGCAGAGCTCTCTAAACACTCACTTCTGAGAATTGCCTTCTGACATAAGGCTGTAGCTACAGACATCTAAAAGTTGGTTATACAAAAGGAAAGAAATACACTTCTTTATGTAATAGAGACTCATTTGGAGACTTTGAGGAAAAGACTGAAGAAGCATGTGCCAGGAATGATAGAGATACAGTTAACCTTGCTTTAGGCACCGATTAGTCCATTTGACCTACAATTTCTCTGATTTTTGAGAGGTAAACTTAAAGTCAACCCTTGCTATTACTATGAATGAAGGATTTGAGAGTGCTATCTCAGCATGTTTTTCTGTATGTAGACCCTCTGGGGCCTACACTGTTGTAAAGCACAGAAAAACAGAAAAAGGACACACCAAAAGAAAAAGAAAGGAGAAAAAAAATTAAAATGTCAGGTTACCATTTTCTTTGCCATAGCAGGCTTGCTAAATTTTGAGAGATTTCAAATATCCGTTTTGATTTTGAAATAGTGTTTATTATAAATACTCCAAATGACATCTTAATGCAAGACACTGTCTCTACATACAAAATTAACCTGTATTCTACTCCCTGAACACCTGGTCTTATCTTCAACCATCTCTTAGAACATCACTTCTGAACACTGGTGTTTGGCTTACCAAAGATCTAATTAGTTATGGATCAGTTACAGCTTGAGATATTTTGAAAGTTGTGTGAAATTCTAAAACAAGAGGTAAATGGAGCATGTGCAGCTCTGGAGAAATTGCTGACTGACAAAAGGTGAAATCTCAAACTGATCTGCAACATTTAAACATTGAAATCTTGGAGAATCACAGCTTTAACCATCTGTCTTGTGTGCAAAATGAAGATTACTGCAGATATTTTGGCCTTTCTTGAAGAGTCAAAGTTCATACTTAAAGTAATAGCAATGACTATCCATATTTGTAAAAAAACTACAACGTATCTCCCATTCATTCCCATCATTACTTCATTAGAAGCTGGCATTGAACCAGTTCATACTGAGAAAAGAGTGAAAATTAAATCTGGGAGTACTTTTTCTTCGTTATGATGGAAAACATAAGCAGAGGCTTTCATCTTCCCCACAGTGTTTTCAATAGCAACAGTATTTAACAACTTACCAACAATTATTCCAGGCCTTCTATCCATTTCAACAATATGTGGATGCACACCTTTATACGCTGCATCACTCACGATTTGTGTGTTTTTCCGCACCCGCTCTGTTATAGGATCATCTACCACTGGGGTGAAGCCTCTGCCCTTTGTCTTCTCAAAATCTTCATGGTATTTCACCTATGAAAACAAGAAGAATTACATTCTTCCCCAAGCTGCAACTGACAGCAAATACTTATTCTATGCAAGAATGCATACGTGTTTGTTTTATGAGGCACTTACATTCTTTGGGTTTGCACCATAATAGAATTGTTACACACATGAGACAGGCTGGATAGCCAGCCAAGTCTTTTCTATCTATCTCCCTAACTAGATTTCCGGATATTTTATTATAATTTTGCATTTGTTTTCCTTTGCCACAGAACTCGGCATTAACTCAAGCAGCAAAGCATCATCTTACAGGCACACAGGACAGGAAAAGCCCTCAGGAGGTCATCTGGTCCAGTCCTTTCTTCTCTAAGATAGGATAGCTCTCTACTGATATAGACAACTACATCTCTCAGTAAAAAGTGTTCCGGCGGTAATAGTTGTAAAGAACACGAGTATTTTCATTCACTGAGAATTTTGATTATATGCACAATTTGATGCAAAAGGTACTCTTTTACTTTTTTGTTTTATGCCAGCTGGCTTTAAACATAGGTTTTTAGAAAGAATTGCAGTTGTTCTAAGCAGCCTGCTTACAAAAAAAAAAAGAAAAAAAAAGAAAAAAAAAGACATTAAAACCAAGGACATCAGGGTAGAAAGTGTTATATAACCAAGTGTTGGAACAAAACCAGTATTAGTAAGAGTTATGAAGTAGTATCCCTGATTATGCATATTTACTTTTTAAATAGTCTTAATCATCAAAGAATTAAATTGAGAAACATTCTCACACAAGCAAATGCACACATAACAACTCATTCCAAGAACAAAAGCCACGCAGAAACCAGGAACGTGCACAGGCACAAGGTGAAGTGTGTCACCTAATCCAGTCAAACTGTGTGATGCTCAAATGAGGTGTGTACTTTTTTAAAGAAAAAAAAAACCAACCAAACAAACAAAAGAACAGACATTTAACTGTTAGAAAACTGTTTATTAGTATATTGAAAATGTTCATTACAGTCATATGCAGTTAGCAAACACTCCCTCCTCAACAGGCATAAGAAGCAAATATTCCTTCCATAGTTGAGCATAGAGTTTCATTAGTTACCTATATTAATGGAAGGCAAAATCCAGTGGAAGTCAAGTGCCATTCCTTAGTATACTCTAGTTATAGGAAGAAAGTACCCTACCATTGAGATGTTGTTTTGTGTTTCTTTGACATGCCTTAGCTCAGGTGTGTCTAGAAGCACACTACATCTACCTTTCATCTGCCTTTGATCACTGCTGTACTTGACCTGCAAAACAGCAACAACAGCACACATGAAGTTTTTGTTTACAGTAGAAAGGACGGTGAGAATCACCATGCAACGGTATCCTTTTCCGAATCACAACATTTTTCTTGTTTCTTTCTTTACACTCATTTTCTAGTGACTTATTTCAGAGGGAGGATACAGATGAGTTAGTAAATTTGTAAGGCCAAAGGGCATGTTTATTCCATCAGTCACTTACTCAGAAAAGTAGTATTTACCTGAAAGCTGAAACTCTTGACAGTTTAAATGACATAAGTGAAACAATTCATTTATCAACTGAAAAATAAGATAAATAATAAGAAAACACCACTGTGACTTGGACATCTTTAAAACATATTTGTATGGCTGATGATAAGCTACCTTCTTATTGCCCAGACAGATCTAGATTCTGTCATGAGTCTGCTTCCAGGTTGGGATCAGCATGAGAACTCCTTTGTCCCCAGGGAATTCAACTCTTACAAGCGGATTAGTGCTGTGGCAGCCTTCTTACTCCTGCTCAGTAGCTAGCCCTGGCTAGCACCACAAAAGCAACATGTCTGGGACAAATCTGAATATGCTGTTTTCAAAGAGAACATTTGGGCTCTGTGCTTTGTGCATCACTAAGTACAGAACCTCCTACGTCACATTTCTCCCAGTTAGCTTCTTTTGTAGCATTTTACAGGCTCGTAAAGATGCAAGGTTAATTATCTGTTAAAAAAAAACCAAAGAAACAAACACACAAAAATAACCACACTAAAAATTCCAAAACAGTAAAAGTACTTGGTCCTGCTTGTTGGTTCTAGAGTGAGTACTCTTACAGTTTCTTCTGGCTGGCTGAATTCTTCTACTGATGGACTTTCTTAGCTCCTACATTGCATTGTAACCTGTGTACTGAGTGTTAGTAAATATTTTAGATTTATCTATACATTCACACTCAAAGTACTACCTCTCAAATCAGTTGTGCAAATCTATTTCAACATGCGTTTGTGATGAGAGAAACCAAGTACTGAAATTGTCTAATACTCCTTAAAATTACATTAGCTAAGCGCAATGTACCTATGAAAATATGAGTCTTGCTGTCTATGTTTCATAGGTAAGCTTGAGGTAATGTACAGAGAAACAGAAATATACGGTACTGCATATTCTTCAAGCCCTGCTTAATTAAACAAAAAATTTTCTTATTCAGCTACATATGCTTTTGACCATAAGGCATTTTCTGGACAGAATAATTGTAGCCAACACAGTTTGTTTTTCATCTACTGCTCAGTAACATAGAGGAGTATTTATCCCTGTAAATCCTGAAAAACAAAGTGAAGGAGTCACTTGGAAAAAAAGGCTTAATTTTCAGAAATTAAAAAAAAATTATTTAAAGTCTAGAACTGTTGGGAAGTTTCCCTCTTATTTTTAACCATGCACCTCAAAACTAACTGACTTTGGTAAATATGCATGAGCATTTTAAGAACATACTTAAGACATATGTAGTTACAAGGTCAGATTCTATTCCTTTGTCCTTAGACAAATCCTCTGACAAATCCAACCTACTTTACTTTTCCCCCTATACTTAGTTCTAAAGTGTTCACTACTATTAATTCTCTTCTGCCACCTTGAGATAGTGACTCTCCACGAAACCTGTTCCATTTACCATCTGCAGAGGCTTTGTCACTGATGTTGTTTCAATGTTGAGGACACAGACTGTAATGTAACTAGTCTGGTCCTTTACTTCACCATGCTGTTTTGACTTCTTCCTTGCTTCTTATTAGAACCGTTTGCCGCTTCTTACACCACTCTAGTGGTGATCAAAAAAAAAAAAAAAGAAAAAAAGGTAAGTAAAAAAGTAAATGGATGACTATATGCTTCCATGCTTTGAAGCAAAAAAAATTAAATTTGCACTAAAGTTAAATTCTCTTTCCTTTGTTCTTTACTGTAATTTACTCCTGCAGTCTAGAAACTAAAACTTGGTAACAAGAGACAAAGATTCTTGAAAGAATGACTGACCTCTACTGACTTTCTCCTTGAAAAATACTGGTCCCAACGCAAACACTTGTTTTTTTTGCAAGAATAATCAGGCAAGTCTGATATTTTTGTTGCCCATATGCATAGTGCACGTGCTCAAAGAATAAAAAAAAAAATCCATTCAGTGGATGAGGCAGTTAGATTCATTTGACGCATCAAATCTAAATGGAAAAGCATATCCTTGTTATATTCCTACAATGACTGAAAATCTAAATGACAAAAAGATTCAAAGAACTTGCCGAGCTGATATTGTCTTGATTCTTCTTGACTCTCTCTATCTCAGGAGTGACACTCACAGCAGTAGCTTTGCCAGGCTGCTCCCTGTAGTGAACCTATTATTTAACAGAATAAAATGGTACATACTATTTCAGCTAAAGCAATATCACATTGTATTACATTAAAATGTGTGATTTCAAAGGTCATCCAGGAAACAACTGAAAAGCTAAAATGCATTTGAAGTTTATTAAAGCTCATAAAACTTGATTTTTGAAGCATAACCTTGAACTCTTTCTGTATAGTCTTCCTATTAATGCATTTGTGAGGATATATACACACATATGCATACAACATCTTGACATTTACCACACTGGTCTTTGGCAGTATAGAGAAATATTTATATTTGGAATGAGGTAAGCCACAAATAATGCAGTAAAGTCAAGCAAAGCAAATGAAAAAAATGAATTTCAGCTATGCCCACTGTATACTTTATATATACTGTATACTGTATACTAAAAATGTATATTTGTCCAGACATAGAGATTCCATAAGGATACCATCCGTGTTCTAACTTTTATACTCTATATATTCAAAGGTGATTAAACACAGGGGGTGCAATACATCAGGCAACTGCCAGTTGAATCCAGCTGCCTACATTTCACCATGTGTTTATTTAAATGTACTGTAGGACTACCCCTCTATCACTTTTTTTACAAAATACACTTGTAGCAATAATGCATTAACCAAATGCACACTCAAGGCAGGATCAGCATCTAAAGAGGATAAAGGATAGGATGTTGGCGTTGACAGACCAACCAGTCAAATGATAAGCCTGGCTCCAAATACTGGGAAGTCAGATATGGTACACATTTAGTAAGTAACTAGAGGTTCCTGCATGATTTATGCCATTCGATACAGTTTTATGTAAAAGAAGTGTTTCCATACAAACCTTTTTTTTTTTTAACAAGCTCTTGGTTTTGTGTGATAACTGTGCTGATACATTATGCTCATAATTCTGCAGTGCACTGTGGAACTAATATACATATTGTTCAAGCAACTGTCTTCCCACACAACACAGTTTTGGTCTGTCCACATCAACATATTCCAATTGAAAAATTAACATCTTATAAAAATGATGGTAAGCTATCAAATGGATTAAGCTTGCAAACTGACATTTGTAAAGATAAAATGATTATTCAAGACTTAATGTTTCTAGAAACATCTGACGTTACAGAATCTTCGCCCAAAGCTATTCCAGTGACCTGAAAGAGAATTTAATGTTTCCAAATAAATTTGCACAACACAAAAATTGGTGAAATGTAAACACTGATGTGACTAGAACAACTGCACAGACTGCCGTGAATCACTCGGGAAAACAGGTTTCTTTGAACAGCGTGCATTTTAGGAGAGCTACATATATCAACATAAATCCAGGAATAAATAGCATACACTTAAATTAGAAGGACAGTATTCTTGAAAATTGTAACTCTAAATTAATTTGGGGAACATGGCAGAAAACACCCCAGGGAAACACTGTTTGCAGCCCCATGAAATATGGCTGCTGATGGCTGTTCCCTGTGAGAACGGCCGGTCTCTCAAAGACTCAGTATCAAGGTACAACCTCAGCAGCGCAGGAAGGCAGCAGCACGCTCCAAAAGCCCTTACCTTCTTCCCTGTGCTCCTGCAACCAGTGACTTTCTAATGGTTGTGTCAGCCATTAAATACTAAACTCTGATAGGAAGGTTATTGAGGAACCAGAAAGAGACAGGTAAGAGAGTTGCAGTTTGACTACAGTCGTAGTCAATTTTTTACAACGGAAATTAAAAAAAAAAAAAAGCTAGAAAAGGTTATTCCGTTTAAAAAAAAAAGAGTCCAGATTTCCTGCAAATATCCAAGACAGAGAGTAACGTTTCAAAACATTGCAGCTATTTCTTTAAACAAATATGTGATGCTTCATGTGCCATTTCCCAACCCAAGCAATGGCTTTTCACAATTGCTTCCTAAAAGAGAGTTTTCAAGTAATTCCATTACTGAGCCTGCACCTAACTAAAGAAAAGGCACAGCTTCTGGAGGCAGAACTTTGTACTTATCATCTGCACCCAAAAATTATACAAAGGATTAAACGAGAGCAACTTCCCATGCTGACATTCTCTTGATTCCTCTTGACTCTTTCGATCTCGGGGGTGACACTCACAGGCGTAGCTTTGCAGAGCTGCTCTTTGTACTGAACCTAGCAAACATGGCAGACGATATTACACAGAGGCTTCCAAGTAACAGAAATACAACAGTGTGTTAGACATCATTAAGGAGCACACTGCATTTGGGTGAAAAATACCATTCCTTAATAATCAATCACATCTTTCCACATGATACTTAGTACTCACCCTCTTGCAGTTCCATTTCAGACAGAGAAAACTGATCACTCTCATTGATGTTAATCAAAGTGCAAGGCTAAGGAGTTATCATTTTACCATTAACTGACTAAATTAGTCTTTGTGGGCAAACAGGAACTAGTACAAACATCACAGACATATTCACCAAGGCACAAACACATTTAATGCAGCAGAGAAAAGTATGCAAGCAATGAAAATGGGGCACACATTGCTAATGTTCTTCTGGTTTTCTTTAGCTCTCCTTAGTTCGGGTGGATCAGAAATAGTTGTTGCTTGCTGAATTTCCTCCTTGTATTTAATCTGCACAATAAATATTACAAAATATTAACAATTTAAAGATACAGACAAGCACTAAAATACAACAAACATTTTTGTAATCTCTCCCTTACACATACTGCACAGCTAGACCACACTTACCAACACTATTAACCTGAAAAGGGAGAGTTATACTTGGTTTCTAAAACAGGCTGCTAGGGTCTCCAACGCATCTTGTCTGATACGGTAAAGAAGAGAGTGCATGTAACAAGTCTAGTACAGCGGGAGTATACAGCAGATGGGATTGTGGCTATACGGTTGGGCTTGACCATCTTAAAGGTCTTTTCCAACCTAAATGATTCAATGACTCTATGACAACTGGGATGCTGCATATACTACCTGGAAATCTGTATCACTCTGACAATGACTTGTTCTTGCTATTATCTTGCTACAGAGTCTACCAGTCCATTTCAGAAACAAAACATTTCACAGATGTGTTCTTAAAAGGGTGGATGACTACAAAGTCTCATTCAAGTTCTCTCAAAACACACACAGATACATCAGGGAGAATGAAGATGTTTGGATAGATGATGCCTTTGAAGATGCTGTCAGATATTTACTGTTGCTTTTGCCACATTTACTCTCTTCTAAACAGCAGTATGTTTGGATATGGTAGACTCCATAATTTGAAAGATGCACAGAACTAGAATTTCTTCAATTATATAGCATATGTACCAAAACTGAAATTCAACTAAATGAGAAAGAATTTTAAGGTGGATGTGGTACTGAAAAGAAAGGCATCTATTTTCTGGTTTTCCATATGCCATCCAAAAGGGTCATCTTCGACAAATCTGTGCATTGCCTTTTTCTTCCTGTCTTTTACTAAATACCTGTCCAAGATTCAGCACGTTCAGCTTCAAATCTCTTATGCCAGTGTAAAACAAACAATACTTGTAGACCATGCCATCCTTTACAGTGACATGGCATGCTTTCTTTTTCTTTACAATGGTAATAAAATGGCAAAATTCACAAAAACATTCAAAATTGTGTGTGCAGTGATACATAATAGTTGGAAACATTTTTCATTAGCAAGACTCAAAGTACTTTAGGAACAGGGGAACAGCACAAGGAATCAATTTGTACAGTTTTATATTAATGTGGCATACAAAACTTCTGTTAAATACATTTTAATGCTTGAAAAATCAAGGACTTGAAAATCAGAAAATGACACAAGTAACTTAAATGTAACCTTAGTTCCTCCCCTTGTACAAATATGCTCCATATATAGCTTTTAATATATTTTATACTACTTCATTCTTTTCCTCTTTAAGTGCTTTATAATTATCTTTATCTATTACGAAAAGCTGTGTTTCTCAAGAGAATTCTGCCTCATTCATTACATATAATCAATGAGCCTTATTTAGTGAGTAGTTTGCATATGGACCATGACTGATTTATTTTTTTTAACAGCTCTAAGATCTTTGATGACAGAATTACTGATTTCTATGTTGTTCCTCACTAAAGCATCTCAGTTTTTCACACACATTAATTCACTAATTTTGCTGTGAAAGGAGGACAAAGGGAATTGTGACAAGGAAAAGTACTATTTTTACTAGAGACCACAGACAAGTAACAGCTAATCTGGTTACATAAGTAAAAAAAAAAACAACACAGGATTATATTGCACCTGCAGTCAGATGAGAATTGCCACTGAACTGTACGTTGCAAAAGGGAAAACCAGAGCAGGTCCACCTCCGCGGCAAAGTATAAAATCATATACTTTGGTATTGGATCATCAGGTCTAGACACAAGGACTTGAATTCAGGTTCTTGCTTTTGTGTATTGACTTAGTGACCTTAATATTCACTAAAGGTACCTCTTGGGGATGCAATTTCTCATGATTTAAAAAAACTTTATTCCTTAGATTGACTGCACAAACCCATAAGAACTATCATAGTTTGTTACCTCCGTGGACAACATCATGACAGAAAGTGAAAATATTTGACCAAAGTTAGCTCAGATACATGCTGACAGCAAGGGAGTGGTGAGTCTAAACAACCTTGTGTTCTGTTTCAGCTCTTCTGGAAGGAAGCACCCATGCACAGGAGCACATCACTCTGCCTGTCTTTCCCCACTTTTGGCCTCTCCACTTTGTCCATGACCAAGCCCTTCTACACTTTCAGTTCCTCATCCCTGACCTTTTTTTTCCCCAAATCCACTGTACCAAATGTCACTTAGTAGATAATTTTCAACTCTCTTCTTCAAGACATGGTACCTCTGGAGATGCCAAATTTTTTAACACAGACAAAACAACTTATTTTTCTCTAAGCTCATACTTGGAAGCTACTTTGGTTGAAATTTATAAATAAATAAATAAAACCAAACCAGCCCAAAGCACAGATGAGGAATGGAAAATTTCAGTCCAGACAGTTTAGGACTGGCAGATGTACTAAACCACTAGAAAAAGGGTCTTTTAATAGAGACTATTAGGTAAGCTTAAGAATTGGCAGTGTTACTGGTCCTTAAAATGCTTCAAAACATCCATTGCTTGAGTTTTAATCAGGCCCCAGCTTTGTGGTGTTGACTGACATATCATAGGGGTTCATGGATTTCACACAAACAAAAACACAATCTTCCCCCAAAAGCTTTCTTCCCAATGCTGTGTCTAGCCTTGTCTGTCCCTCAGTATAAACAAGTTTTTAAAAAAATCCTCTTAGTTATTTGTAACTTCTCTGTTCAGGTTCAGTTACAGTCCATGGGTCTGATGTTTGCTTTTAAAGTTCTGTGAGATCTTGACTCCAACTATTTAGGAGGTTTCTCTTCCCAAACTAATCATGACAAAAGGTGAGATGAGCTCAACCACCTTAGCTGTCACCACCTTGTTTTTTAGGATTTGAATACAGACTGTCCTGAGCTTTGTCTTCAAAATATGTCATCTGGAAGAATTTGATCACTTTCAGAACATGATGCAATGGATGTTTTTGCATGGTTTGGTTGCACAGTGAGTGTTATTTTGGTTTGGTGTTCTGGGTTATTTTGCACTGCAGATGTGCTTCACATTCCTTCATTTTATTTAGCTCAGCAGATAGTTTTAAAACTGTCCCAAGTCCTTCTGACTAAATTCAAAGATACGTGTAAAATGTTTAAATCCAATGGAGTCAAAATTGGTGTAATTTACCCTTCCTTTGGGACTCCTGTAAATTACACAATATACGTTCCCTCTTCCTGACATGTAATTTAAAACTTTCTTGCACATTGCCTTTAAATTTGGCACTCTACAATTTTAATAAATATTATACGAGACTTAAGTAATCTCAAGTATACTACATGTAATAAAATATCTTTTGTAAAATAGTAACTCTACACGCAGACTAGCAAGGTAAAGGCCATGCTACTTACATCACACCACTAAACCGCTAATGCATTTTGTGTTTCTCTTGATATGCTTTTGTTCCAAGTCTGTTTACTAGCATACTGATGCATCTTTCATTTTCCCCTCTTCACCACTGTTCAGGATTTCTAAAACAGCAAGAGCACTGCATATTATTTTTCCATTTCGCTTTGAAAGGTATTGAGGAAAAGCATTACAGTAAGACTACTCCTAATAAGCCTCTGTGTGTGTCTGACTATTGAAATAAATGTCCATGGTAACTGGAAATGAACTAGGCAATAGGAGATTAGGGTTTTGTTTCTAGAACACCAGTACAAATCTGGCTAAAAGAAACCTAAACACATAATTGTACGGGAAGAGGGGGGACACAGAGAAACCAAAGAACAAAAAGAACCAAACAACAACAAACACACCCCCACCTCAAATCAAGAAAACCTACAGCTTCCCAACCAGAAACACTATTTTAGGACTTAGGACACATGATAACTTGCACTGATATGATAAAACATGATGAATGGAGCAGAGAAAAATTCCAAGGAAAATATGAGTTTTTCAAAATTTTATGAAAATTCCTTACCTGACCGTACTTTGGTGGGGAATGCAGTATTTAACACTACTTGGTAAACAAGGTAATTCTAATAGAATAGGTGCCCAGAGTCCCTAATTTGGATTTCAACTAATAGTTAAACACAATCTAGTGTCTTGTCTATGTGTTACTTTCCAACTTTATTTTTTAAAAAGCATCTAACCACCGGAAAAGTCATGTCACAAACATAAAAATGGCTCCAGAGGACTCTGCACCAAAAATTCCAAACAAGTGACCACTGCAGCTACAAGTGTTTTCTTGCTTGGCAGTCAGTTTTTCACTTTTTTCCAAGTTTTGTCACATATTTATCAGAAGAGCATGTTCTACTTGTAGAAAACTCTCGTTTTTATATTTTATTTTCAGTTGCCCATTAAAGTGCCAAAGACATTGGGCACCCATAGAGAAACAACATCAGTTCAGAACCAGTCTCATGAGATCCACAGATCAACTTGTCATCAGCATGTAAAGAGGCACAAACCCTCCACCTTTTCACATAACCCAAGTCTGGACATTCATTTTCCTGTTCCTGAAGCACAAACTGTACCAACCTCTAGGTAATACATGCAGACTCTACAGAAACTTTACAGATTTTCTTTTTTGTGATATGATATTTTGCTAAATTGCAAATTACAACTGCTGTTCAGTCTGTCATATCAGGAAATACACTCTTGAAAGACAAAACTCTTTCCTCAAATACTTAGTTCAAAGTTTCTCCTGTTTTTCATGATGCTTCAATGTGAAACTCTACCTTGGACACAGAAGAGCTACACTAGAGTGGAGCTCTAACTCTACTAGAACGGACCTCTATATCCAAAATCCAGTGGAGTAGTATTTGAATGAGATGTGTGATATGAAAATGTAGAATTTTTAGTAAACAAGATGGAAACAAATTTTACCATGATTTACTCACATAAGAATAATTAATAACACTTACAGAACTAATATTCTGTTGATTTTTCTTTACTCTTTCAATCTCTGGAGTCTCTTTTACAGCTGTGCCAGCTCCTACTTCGTTCTTATAAAACACCTTCATTTCCCCAAAAGAAAAAGTAATTATGAGACTGTTAGCAATGCAAGTACAAGTTCTCATAAAAGGGCTAGGCAGTTTTCCAAGTTCCAAATTGGTCTGACTATAAATCTTGCTAAGAAAGCAAATACTTTAATTTTTCATAAATCAGACCAATTATCAATAACTACAATAACATTGTTTGTTTTCAGCTGTAACCCAGACAATCTATTATCATCCTTTAGATTGACCTCAAACATTTGTTAGTATTTGTTTTAGCTTTGGAAATAATATTCAAATTTAGATCATAATCTACAAACATTTACAAATGCAACTATATGCTTGAGTAATCTCACTTATTTCAATGTAATTGAACGTGCATGTACATGCATGATTTGAATCCTGTTTTTAATCTTCATATCTTAAAATACTCTGAGAAGTGAACATATATTATTATTATTTCTAATTTAACAAACTAGAAAATTAACATATTCAGGACAAAATAAACAGAACAGACAGAGCCACAATCCAAGTCACGCTTTTTTTTTTTTTTTTCCTTTTCATCTGAAACCAAAGCTCACTTCTGAAAAGATGCACATGTTGTTTATATGATTCTCCTCTCTATTTCAATTGTTTCAGTAAAGGACAAAACACAAAGTGCATCAGTAGAATCAATTAGTCAAAGTTACTGAAAAAGACAGTAAATAACTGCTCCACAAATTCCAAAGGTGGGTTTAATTTAAATAACCATGGAGCACCAGTTCACACTGCAAAATTCCTAAAGAAGTTTTATTCGAATTTCAGTATTTGGTGTCACAGCTGTTGCCATTCCAGTAAGTATTTCCAGGCTATCAGTGTAAAAACAAGTCTGATCCTGGAGTTTGTGAAATAAATCTTTACGACTTAGTATTTCTGCCCTTCTTAAACCAAGATTTATTTAGGGGTTTTTTCCTAGTAATAAACCTGAAACAATAAAACATAATTCTTGATGCATTTTTCCTACTTCGTTGAAGTTCTCTGTAACCTAGGGTGACCAGTACTGCCAGATATTCTAGAGAAGAGTTATTTATGTCCACAACTCAATTTTTAAATATTCAGAACAGCTTTAACAATTTAGAATTTTGTTTTACTCTGTGAGAACAGAGACAGTTTATGAGTAAGAACTTGAAAATTCTTCTGCACCAACATGTCAGTACAAGGTAGAAAAATTTACACAGTGGACTGAACTAAAATATACTTTTTTCCTCTACCAAAGAGGGAGTGGTAAAAAATGTTGGAGCTGGGAATTTTCTATGAGAGAGATGACTCTGCAGTAAATACCGTATCGTAAATCATCTGCCAAATCAGCTAGTGAGCTAAAAGCAGCAGTGATCTTATCTGCAGAGCTAGCCACTTTTTTTGTCCCATAAGACAGGAAAATACTTGAGACAAAATCCAAAAATCAGAAGCCTATTAGAGGCCATTAATTTTTTTTATATTGGGGCTGCTCCCAGCTATATCTAAACTTAGTAAAAAGTAACTTACCTTTACAATCTAAATTGCACAGAATACTGAAAGATGAAAATGTGGAGAAAGAAAAAAAAAGATAATTTGATCAGAGCTATGAACTGCTTTCTTACACTTGGAGGATCCAGTTCAGAAACAGAAAAAGGATGATCTTGAAATAAAGCAAACACACATTACCTCAAAGACAAAATATTTTTATTTCCTATTATCTAGTACACTAACAAGGAGGATAATCGTCAGCCTTGGCACTGAAAGCTCAGGCTGGCCTACAGGGCCGCGAGGGCTTCAGATGCGTCAGAGCCTTGTCAAGGCTTAATTAAGTAGCGGAAGGTTATTATGTGCCTGGTATCTAACGGTTAGAGAGTCCACAGCGCCGGACGCACTGACCGACTCGAGGACTTTGTCGAAAGCGATCAAAGGCTGGCGCGGGGAGGAAAGCGGGTCAGCAGAGGCCAGCTTGGATCCCCTCTGTCACACGGCTTCGGCCTAGCGTGTTAGGATGACAGTGACACGGGACGCGGTGCTAATCACCGTCACACCGTGCAGCGGAGCACCATTCAAAACCAAAAGATTACAAGCAACAAAATTGGGGCCAGTGGGCCTGTCAACAGCTCCTGTTAGAAGGATTTCAGGTGCTCCCATTTGAAGGAAGAAAAGGAGAAGGTAACGGCTGGAAGACGTTACAGGAGGGACCGCTGCCTAGAGCCGCCGCAGAGACATTTCTTTTCTTCTCTCCTCTCCCCACAGGCTCTTACTCCCCCAGCGAAGCCACAGGGATATGGGATAGCTGCAGGTAAACACCTCTGAGGAAAACTAATTGACTTTGGACTCGTGTGGAGTTGGAGAAGCTGAGAATCTCTCTCAGCAAACAACCACATCTGTGTCAGATAAATTTTAAGTAACTTACACTCCTTTCTCTCAAATCATTGGCATTATTAGTATTACTTAGTCTGCCATAAAAAACAGACGCTAACTGGATAGACTTTGATTCTGGAGGCTGTATTTACTCCTCCTCTTCTCTGTTATATTACAATCAAAGCTAGAATTACAAACAGCAGAATTAATGGGCCCAAAAAGGAAATGGAACTGAATGCATCACAAACCGGGCAATTTTAGAAATCTAAGCTCATAATTTATATTTAGGGATAAACTGAAACTTAATTCTAGCATAAAATTTTAAAATATATCCAGTATGACATAAAATCATTAGACATATATATTTATGAAACCTGACCTGTTCTAATTTTATACCCAAATCTTGATGTTCTGTACATATGATAGGAAACAGATGAAAAATCTTATATGCACAGTAACAAGCCTTAGATTTTTTTTGTTCTTTTAAATAAAGTACTTCCTGGGGCTTGATGGAAAACGAAAAAAAATCTTCATTTAAAAATAACTGTGGCTTGGCAAGGTGGTACAAGAGGTTTAGCAAGTCAAAATAACAGTGTCGCACCTAGAAAACCTGGGTATTTTTTTTAACTGAAAGAAATGAGTGATACAGCTTTTGCCAGGAAAATTATGCAAATGGTTCAAAGAACATTTACTCATAAGTTCCCTATTTCATGCTGCAGCACAAGAGAGTCTATTTAAACTGAAAAATATCAGAAAAGTTGCAAGCAAAGAAAGAACCACTAGTACTCACTGAACTGATGTTTTTCTGAGTACTTTTTATCCTTTCCATCTCTGGAGTGTCTGGGACAGCAGAATAGTTACAGAGCATCTTCTCTGCTTCATCTTTGTACATTTTCTGAAAAATAACTTTAAAATGTCTATTTCCTGCTTTCTCGGCCTCAGAATATCCAAATCGCAACAAAATATTTTTACTGATGATGAGTCTCAACATCCTTGTACAATATTTATTTCAACCTCTCTCCTCCATGATACTATTATCATTGTCTGTGTGGGGCACCTGACATTGAAAATATCTTTTTTAATATATATGTGTGTATATATATGCTCATATATATTATAAATTTTCCCTTCACTGTCAGGATATATATATCCTTCTCATTAGGTTGTAAATGTAAAAAGACCTGAAAGTAGATATAAACAATTAAATCCAATTTACATGGCATGACAGGCCTCAATACAAATAAGAATCAGGCTGTAAGATTTTTTACCACATGTAAATTAATCTATTGTGGGTATGAAATCCTCTGAAGAGCTAGAGAAGAAGTATTTTGAGCAATGTATATCAAGCACTCATTGTTGCACAGAACTAAAACGTTCAGCCTTTGAACTATGCCTACCTGGCTTGCTATTTCTGAAGCCCTTTTGACCCGCTGTATTTCAGGAGTGTATGGGCCAACTTGCATCCCTTTTCCTATAATTTCAGTCTCCAGATCCTTTTTATATTCTTTCTGAAGAAAAAAAGAAGGAAAAAAACCACAAATAATGCTACAGTTATTTGTACATGTTATCTTCAAAGCTATTTTGATAGCACTGGTCAGACTTTAAAATAAATTCTTCTATGTCTTAAATTTTATTTTTTTTGTTGTGCACTACTTATTCTTTTTGGCCCAAGTATGTTCAAGAAGATTTTATGCTTTTAACATCTCATTGTGTTTTACTTCCAAAGTAATCTTAAGAGATTCATTCTGTACTCACCTGGCTTACAATTTCAGAAGCCTTTTTGGCTCGTTGTATATCAGGGGTATCCATGCCCACTCCCATTCCCTTTCCTTTAATTTCATTCTCCAAGTCTTTCTTGTATTCCTTCTGAAGAGAATAGCGTTGGAAATGTGTCTGACAGACAAATTCTTAAATTGTTCGTACTTTAATCTGCAATTCCACTGAACAGCATTCTTAAAATACCAAATAACTTTTGATTCAACAGCATTAGCTTTGTAGAATCTATCTACGAGACACCTATGCTGTAGCCGCTGACCAGTTAAAAAAATATTTTAACAGACTGCTTACTTCAAATCTGATGTAGCCTTTCACATCTACCTGTCTTTGCAGCTTTGGCAGCTCCAATCCGAGACACATGTAGATAAGACTTTCTCCCTCAGCTGTGCTTTGCAAGACTGGGGTCATAAGGCTTAAGCATCTCTCTGTTTATGATTTGGCTCTAACTAAACAAGTAGCTATTTAGACCTAAAAGCAGTAGGGCCCCCATCTACTGAGCACAGCCCAGTCCAGGCGTGGTTCATGAGGAACAAGGGCCGCCTGCAAAAGATGACAGAAAGGTCAAAATTCTGGGAAGTCTTAACTTTCCCCTGTACGCTGAGTATGTAACTTTTAGACTGCGCAGCACAACAGGTTAGGTATTTGGTGAAATTTGTGGTATTGCTACTGCCTAGATTGGTCACCACCTGGAATTCTCTATGACAATAATCTGTTGCATTCTGCCAAATGGAAAGCTTGCAACAGGTACCGTACTGACCATGCTTGCAATTTCAGAGGCTTTCTTGGCTCGTCTTATCTCAGGAGTATCCGGACCAACTTGCATACCCTTCCCTTTAATTTCAGTTTCCAGGTCTTTCTTGTATTGTTTCTGTGAAGATAAAACTTCATACATTATATTCACAATATCCAGAGAGTAACAGGTAGACTTTTGCACAAGAGATCCAATTTAGGATTTGGAGTCAATCAAAAATTTCAAGAGTCACAACTCTCTTGGCAAGCTTTTGTCAGGAAAACACATAAAAAACTACACGAGGAAAACTTGAGGAGATATTCACTGAATGTGAACTCACTGAATTAACTCTACCACTGATCTTTTAATTTGGCAGAGGGTGAGGGGAAATCAGTCCATACAGGTTGCTACAATTATCCTGTAAAGTAAAGGGGAAGTTTACTGTTCTGTCCTCTGCAGAACACTGTGTAATAAGCTGGTACTTGCTGCCAGCCTAATTGAAACCCATTTTACTTTTAAGAAAATATTTTATTTATGAAAAGACTGAATGTTAGAAATTTAATACCATACAGAATTGTTTCCAGTGAATTTTCAGGGCAGGAAGTTGTAATTTATTCATTTAAGAGGTCTTTCCTGAACCACAGCCATTAGGCAAGTGGCAGTACTCATCGTTGATTGCTTTTTTTTCCTCACAACATAAATTATGAATAACCAATAAACAGGAAACAAAATGAATATTTTATCTTCAGCTTACCCAAGCAAGAATATATTTCTTGTTCATCAGCAAATGATATTAAAATGTAATACTGAAATATTGTACATGATAGTTGTCCTTTTTTTAAAAATAAAAAATTAAAAGATTCTCAGGCAGTGTTATTTCCGCTACTATAGTAGTAATCATTCTTTTTCTATTCTAGTTTACCTCTGCCTGTAGAAAACAGGTTTGGGGGTTTTTTCCAAAATAAATACATATAATTAAAAAATAACTGTTACTTTTCTTGATAATTAATTTTTACGTTGTACGTTAGTTAGAAAAAAGAAGGAAAATATCCTTCTACTCCATTCACTGGTCTCATCACTTACAAGAACAAGAGCAAAAAGACTTTCAGTCTTCCATCTCTGTCTCACCCTGATGTGGAAAGAAACGTAATAAAACAACTCTCTACCTTACAAACCACAGATTTTTGCAAAAAGTGTAAGTTAACCTCTAAGAAGACATCATGCCACTTCCTCTCTGATAATTCCTCCTCATCTGGTGGAATAGCAGATATTTTCTCCCAGCTTCATATTGTGTAAAACACCAAGGAAAAGATAATCCTGGGAGTTACAGCTATATATTCCTGTACTTATTTACAGTGGTCACATTGGCCCTATGCATGGCATTCCCTCTGATTCTTATGGCTATGTATGTATATGTGTGCAAATAAACATATACGTATACACACACATATTAAGTGAATATAAAATATATATATATAAAA